CTCTTCACCCAACACTTTCACTCGAAATGGAAGTAAGCTCAACAATTATGTAACAAGAGATTCCTCGAAATCTAAGTTTTTCTTTCATAAATTCAATGAAATCCTGGCGCCTACTCATTTTATTGTCGGTAAACCCAATTATCACTACTTAAATCACCTTAGGCGAGTACATTCTTGTCATAGGCATTGATACTCGTATTGTTAGTCTTGAGACTGAAAATTTGCAGTTTGCCCTAGTCATCTACAATTGCACCACAAAAATGTGATATAATAGAGGCTTGGCTCGCCTTGAAAGTCACACCTGCCCTATGACCGAACTACTGGCAGTGTGGCTCAGCGGTAACACGTAGCCAGTTTACGTGCACTGGCCAGCTTCACTTCGGGTCTGGTTGCTGACGGGACATTGAGGCGAAGTCGAAACTGCAGTCCAGTCCAGTCCAGTCCAGTCAAGTCGTGTTTGGATGAGAATGCCTATTGAGAAGCAGGGTCAAGTGAAATTCAATGGGGGATAGGCCCAAACCAACAGAAGATGCAGAGGTAGCTCGGCACAAATACACACAAACAGGTCACAGACGGGAATAAAAGCAGATGGGCAGACACAAGAGACCAACCAATTCGTCAGGGGACACATGCTTGGGCAGGGGATGAAGGGGAATTTTGACCAACTAACGCCACATTCGATAGCGGACCTGGTGGAACCGAGGCAGGACGGTGCAATTGTATGGCATGGGCGAGATATCGTGTCTTTATTTGGCAAGAGGATAACTGGCCAAGGGCTTGCAAACAGGCCGTGAGACGGCGGGATGGAGAGGAGGTTGGCTCTGTCATGTGGCAAGTTTCGGGCAAGCGAAGCTGTACAAGTGAATCGAAATACGATGATTCATCGGACCAACGTAGTTACGGTGGCCGAGCCCCAAAAAGTGGAGGCTCTTTGGGGGTGTGCATCATGTGGTTGGGCTCATGAATGTCTGCACAATTGGCCATGTACCCGTTTGCAACGACTCTGCCAACGCTCGAGTGGGATTAGAGATTGTGTATGCGAGGAGATGGGATCACTCTTCGAATCTCTTCACCAAACACTTTCACTCGAAATGCAAGTAAGCTCCACAATTGGAGATTGTATTTATGAGGAGGAAGGTGAAAACGAGAAAAATGGAAGAGAAAGGCGAACAATTGAGACCCGACTCAAACAGGAGATGAAGCACCGGAGAGAAAGGCCATGGCGACAGTGTATCTCAGACATGCAGGTTGGCGAGAAGCATGTTGACAGACCACGTTGACGACCTTCATTTCGAGTGTAAATGTGGGACGAGGGGCTCATCGGGACACAAAAGTAAATTCCTTTGTAGCTACTGTGAGTATGGTTGAATTGATGGGCATTTTATCACGGAAAACCCCATAGCAATGTGTCCCGACCCCGAAAATGTATGTGATATTTACGTGGACCAAGAAGGCGATTGTCAAATGGCAACACAAAAGAAGAGTCGGAAGACGGAGTACGTGAAATGAGTGTCTGAAAATGACATTAGTTCCGAGACTGTCTGGTGAGACCAAGCCAGGGAACTGCTCCAATCGGGATGCAGACAAAACATGTGAAACGTGTTGATATTGCTTTCATGGCCACCAGAATATTACATTTGCACAAAATTGGCCGTATTTTTTGAATGAAAGTACATGATGAAGAGATTCGTTTGTCGTTCTCACCAGATGAGGATGGATGAAAATCGT